AGCCCACAATGAATTACAATGCTACCACCTTCAAGAGTGACACACTCAAGTGGTAGACTCAGTGAACACGAAAGACCCACTGAAGCAAGCTGTGCTCTGTAGGGTCAACTATTGCACAGCAGCTCTTCTGCTGTAGTCACAGCTGGTCCTCACAGCTGACTGGCCTGGGGTCAATCCCTCAGTGATGCCAAAAGCAATCAAGGCTCAACTACAACAGAATAGTGCACAGGGCCCACAAGCACCCAGCTCAGGTGACTAGAGTGGTGGTGCCACTGGGCTCAGCAGGACACCTACCACACAAGGCAATTCTACCAAATCTGGGAGACATAGCAGCTTTACCTAATACACAGAAATAAACACAGGGAAGCAGCCAAAATGTGGAGACAAAGAAACGTCGCAAATGAAAGAACAGGAGAAATATCCAGAAAAAGAACTAAATGGAAGGAAGCAAATAAACTACCAGATACAGAGTTCAAAACAGTGGCTAGAAGAATACTCAAGAAACTTAGAATTTCAACAGCATGGACATAAGAATGATAAAAAAAACTAGTCAGAAGTGAAGGAGACACAAATTGAAATGAAAAATAATTATAAGGCATCAACAGAGGACACCAAGTATAAAATCAGCAATCTGGAATATGAGGAAATAAAAACACCCAATTAGAACAGAAAAAAGAAAAAAGAATCTAAAAATATGAAGATAGCGTAAGGAGCCTCTGGGACAACTTCAAGTGTACCAATGTTTGCATCATGGTAGGAGGACAAGGAGCAAGAAATTGAAACCTATTTGAAAAAATAATGATAGAAAACTTCCCTTACCTGGTAAAAGAAACAGACATACATGTCTAGGAAGTGCAGAGAGTCCCAAACAAGATGAACCCCAAGAGGCCCACACCAAGACACATCATAAGTAAAATGCCAAAGGTTAAAGAGAAAGGGAGAATCTTAAAAGCAGAAAGAGACAAGCAGTTAGTTACCTACAAGGGAGCTCCCATAAGATTGTCAGATGATTTCTCAACAGAAACTTTGCAGGCCAGAAGGGAGTGGCAAGAAATATTCAAAGTACAGTCATCCCTTGCTACTTAGTGCTTCTACTTCTGTGGCTTCACTCTATCGCGGTTTTTTCAAATGTATTCATTAAAAAGTTGATCGAGACAGTGAAAATAATACAGAGCACACTCGGTTGTCTGAGTCAATTATACACCCCTGTATTACAATTAAAAATTACTGTACATATGGACTGTAGGCCTATTTATCTGAGTACCCCAGAAATCCTTCAACGCCAGGTGCAACTACTAGTCTGGAACGGATTAACTGCTATAAACGAGGGATGACTGTAAAGAAAAGCAAGGACCTACAACCGATAACTCTACCCAGCAAAGCTATCATTTAGAAGGTGGTATAAAGAGCTTCCCAGATAAGAAAAAGTTAAAGAAGTTCTCACCACAAAGCCAGTATTATATGACATGTTAAAGGATCTTCTTTAAAAAAGGTAAAAAGGTTAGCCCTGGCTGGTGTGGCTCAGTAGTTAGAGTGTTGGCCTGCACACCAAAGTCTCAGGTTCAACTGCCAATCAAAGGTACATTCCTGGGTTGCAGGTTTGATCCCTGGGTACAGGAGGCAACCAATCAATCTATGTGTCTTGTCTCTCACGTCTCTCTCTCTCTCTCTCTCCCTTCTACTCTATCTAAAATCAATGAAAAAATATCCTTGGGTAAGGATTAACAGCAAAACAAGATAAATTTGAACCATAAAATGGCAATAAATACATATCTATCAGAAAAATAAAATAAATAAAAGCCAAAGTCTTTGCAAGGGCCTGCCTACAAAGAAGGTCCTCTACAGTCTGTCCCCGCCATCCACTCTGTCACTTCTCTGCCCTCGTCCTTGTGCGCGCACACTGGTGAAGCACACTCCTGGCCTCAGAGCCTTCCACTAGCTGTTTCCTGTCAGGAATGTTCCTTCTCAAGATATCTACTTGGCTGACTCCTTAATTGCTCTCAAATCTGTTCAAATGTTATCTTCTCAGTGCAACCTAGCATGTCCTCCTGTTTTCAATTCCAACCTTTCCCACTCTAAATAAACCTTGCTCTGTTTTTGTTTTCCTAAAGCACTCATACCCCTCAAATATTAGATAATTTAGTTTATGATTAAATTTCTTATTTATTGACAGTCTCCCTGTACTAAAATATAAGTTCCACAAGGGCAAAAACAAAACAAAAACTAAATTGTTCTTAGAAAACATAATGTATTCCTATGGCCACTGCTGATAATGAGACAGATATTTTTCAAAGGCATGCCAAAACTCATAAACATCCAAATAGAGTAGAATGGGAAAAAAGCTCACATCACTGGGTTTAAAAAACAAAACATAATCGCCCTGGCCAGGGAAGCTCAGTTGATTGAGCTTCATTCCATCCACTGAAAGTTCGCCTGTTAGAGCCCCAGTCAGGGTGCATACAGGAGGCAACCAATCAGTGTTTCTCTCTCACACTTATGTTTCTCTTTCTCTCTCAAATCAATAAAAACATAAAAAAAAAAAAAAAAAAATCAATGCAGATATTCACCAGTAAGATTTTTGAAAAATAATAAAACCTATTGAAAAAAATCTGAAGGGCATACTCAAAAGTAAAAGAAAAACAAAGATACAGTATTAATAAACTGAATCCAATTTCACAGTTTCAGAATGTGATTAAGAATATACTCATATTGGTGGAAATTTTGCTATGTAGAAATAGGAAGAAAGAAATTAGTCCTCAGCTGCTTGGAAATATAAAATTGTTATAATGAACTGTCAGAAACACATGTTCAGCCCTGGCCAGTTTGGCTCAGCGGTTAGAGCGTCGGCCTGCGGTCCAGAGAGACCCGGGTTCGGTTCCCGCTAAGGGCACGTACTTCGGTTGCAGTTTGTCCCTGGCCCTGGTTGGTCGTGCGGGTGGCAGCCACTTGATGTGTCCCTTCATGTCGATGTTTCTCTCTCTCTCTCTCCCTCCCACTCTATCTGTACAAAAAAAAAAAAGGAAAAATATCCTCGGGTGAGGATAAAAAAAAAACACAAAACACATGTTCATGCTATTAAGATTAGCAGCTCTCCAATGTTTTTATAAAACACTATGTTTTAGAGCTTTATAAATTCCCAGAAAGCAATACTTATTTATTTTATTTTATAAAGAATAATGTATTGATCTTTAGAGAGAGAGGTAGGGATAGGAAGAGAGGGAGGTAAGGAGAGAGGGGGGAGGGGAGAAGGGAGAGAGAGAAAGAGTAAAACATCAGTGTGAGAGCATAACATCAACTGGCTGCCTCTTGCAGGCCCCATACCGGGTATCAAGCCCACAATCCAGGTACTTATCCTGACTAGGAATCAAACTGGCAACTTTTCGGTGCACGAGATGATGCCCAACCAACTGAGCCACATCAGCCAGGGTGAAAGCAATACTTATTTAAAGTCTGAAGTCTTTGATGTGAAATAATAGCATATTGAGAGAATATCAAGAGATGATAATATACTGAGACCACAAATAATTAAATTTGGTAATACAGTAATCAGAAGCCTCTACTATGTGCTTGGCACTGTGTTAGATCTTGGGGACAGAAAATGAAAAAAACAGACTTAGTTCCTATCCTTAAGACTATCTAATGGGCCCTGGCCGGTTTGGCTCAGCGGTTAGAGCGTCAGCCTGCGGTCCACAGAGACCCGGGTTCGGTTCCCGCTAAGGGCATGTACCTCGGTTGCAGTTTGTCCCCGGCCCTGGTTGGGTCGTGTGGGTGGCGGCCACTCGATGTGTCCCTTTCACGTCGATGTTTCTCTCTCTTCCTCTCTCTCCTTCCCGCTCTATCTGAATGAAAAATGGAAAATGTCCTCGGGTGAGGATTAAAAAAAATAAAATAAAAAAAAAAAAAAAAGACTATCTAATGGAGAATACTGCCATAAATAATGAAAGGTGTGAGTGATTCACTAAGGGGAAATCTTTTTTTTTGAAATATTAGCTCATGTCTTTTATTAATCCATGTCCAAATTACTTGTCTTCTGGTCTGTTGAAGCAATAGGTCAGACAACATTTGCCACAATAATGTCTGTTAAAGTGGCTGCCATAAAAACTCCAGCACCGCATTCATCTGAAGGGCACTCCCAACGAAGGCGAATGATTTTGCCATTCTCATCCACTTTGTAGTATTTCAGGACAGCCAGCGTAACCTTCTTTCTCTTATGCTTACTCTTCTTGGGAGTGGTTATAAGACTTCTTCCTTTTCTTAGCACCACCTCGACACAAGATGAAGAGTGGGCGCCTTTTGAATGTTGTAGTCAGACAAAGTACGTCCATCTTCCAGTGGCTTGCAGTCTTTGCTGGTCAGGAGGAATTCCTTCCTTATCCTGGATCTTGGCTTTTACATTTTCTATTGTATCCGAGGGTTCAACCTCGAGAGTGATGGTATTCCCCGTGAGGGTCTTCACGAAAATCTGCATGTTGGCGGCGATGCCACCGCAGATGGCGGATCGGAAAAAGACTAAGGGGAAATCTTAAGATTCCAAGGAAATGTTAAGCAAGAGGGTTTGGGAATACCCTTGAGCAAGATTCCTTTTAGTGGGACGTGAAGAATGGTTAGCAGGGCAAAGGAAAGAGAAGGCTCAAGAGAGAAAATCCTCCAGACAAAAATAACACACAAGATAGTTATAGCAGAAACGGCTAGAATAGAAATAAAACTGTATGGTTGCAGAGGCCATAAGGAGGGTGGGCGTGGAACAAGATGAAGCCAGAAAATTCCCCAGAGTCTCGATGATCACATATGGTCTGGTGGGTGATCTAATGGAGTTTTTTTTTTTTTTTTTTTTGTAAACTGCAATGTTTTAAGCAGCTCTGTATATTCCCTCCTCTGTTTTATTGGTAAACATCTTAGGTGCTCAAAGAACATCAGGATCAACAGATGATTAATTTCATCTGATAACCAGGCCTTCTTAGTATAAAGTATTTTATATCAAGATTAAAGCATCTACTTACAGTATCAAGTATTTCTTTGGTATGAGCTGCCGACAGGCAAAACCTGGCTCTGGACTCAATGATCGGGGTAGCCGGAAATCCCACCACAACTACTCCAATGTTCCGCTTCAGCATCTCCCGTCCAAAGGCGCTGCAAAGGAAAAACAACCAGGAAGAGTCACCAAAGGTTTCCTTTACAAAGGTGAAAAAACATAGCTGGCAGAGACCAATTTTTAATAAGGCTTGCCTAGAGTAATTTGCAATTTTGGCCTTAAAGTGTCCCAGACGTGTAACAGTGGTTCAGAGGCTTCAAAATGAACCAGAGTTTAAAACGTGGTCCTTGAAATGTCAGGCTTGGCAGTTTAACACATCCTGAGATTACAAGGACGGGAGGGCCTGCTGTGCCAAGGACGTCTTCTGCTGGTAGAATGGCACAGCACTAACCCCCAAGGCATTTCTTTGACTGACCTGGGCATCAAGCTGCCTGTGGAATTCACCTTCCATTTGTGTTTGTGAAGCCAGAACATCCCCAGACTTCAGATGCTTGATTATCCAGCTCTCATGAACCCCCACCCCAAGGCAAATTGGTGGCATGTGACCATACTGCACTTCTGTACCTTGTGTAAATAACACAATTTTAACTTTCATGTAAATTCTGTAATATTTAGTAAATTATGTTGTATTTTTCTCTTTTTGATTTACCTTAATCCTTTTGGAATTTCCCCTTAGCTGGTTAAATTATTTATTTGGAAAAAAAAAAAATAATCCCACCCATTTTAGTTACATTAGCAACTACTTACATTAGCGCCAGCCTCTCCCACTCCCTCTAGTCCCGGCACATAGTATTCAATGTACTTCCTTGTGGCAGGAAGAGCCTGAGCACCTGCATCTTTGGCTCTTGCTCCCAAACTGTCTACTGCCTCACCCTCTCTAAGTCTTAATTATAATGTACACAGTCAGTTTCACAGGGATAGAACAGATAGTCTTTTAAAGAATAGCTTCTAGACTAAACCAGTCCTTCAGACCGAGTAACTCTAAGTTCATTTATGATAATTCTATTTCAAGAATGAGGAAAACCCTACACCTCTGCCTGGTTCAATGCCACCACTGCCTCTAAAGGCCATATGGCCAATTGCCCACATGACTTCCTGCTGAAAACACAACTTCTCTTTTTCCCTCAGTGAGCACCTTTGCCCAATTTTCCCCTCATTATCATCTTTGGAATCACCATATTTCCAGGTTCCCTGATTGGATTTTCCCTCCTATTCACTTTAATAAACATTTACCGAGTGGCCTCTGAATGCCAGGGACTATGGTGGGCCCTGGGGACTCAAAGATGAATAAAAATATTTGCTCCTTTAATGGCTTTAATTAAATCTTATCCAATTTTATATTCAAGATCCAGTCAAAACACACAAATTTGAATTATTTTACATCTCTGGTGCAATTCTGCATGTAATTATTATTATTTTAAAAAATTCTTTTTTCTTTATTGATTTTAGATAGAGAGGCAGGGAGTGGGAGAGATAGAAACATCAATGAGAGAGACACTGACTGACCTCCTCCTGCATGCCGCCCACTGGGGATTTGTCCCACAACCTGGGCATGTGCTGACTAGGAACTGAACGGGCGACTTCTTGGTGCATGGGTCGATGCTCAACCACTGAGCCACACCGACTGGGCTTGCATGTATTTTACAAATAATTATATTGATTCACTTCATAATTGCTTTTCAAATGTCTTCCGGTTTTGTTATACATTGGAAGCTATTCTAGGGCAGGGCTTTCCATTATATACACCTTGCACTAACCAAAGAAGCTGGTGCAATCTGTACTTCTGGTTATGCAATAACATGCCCTGACCTCAGCTCCACTCACTCCTCATTATCCTTCCATTGGCTAAACATGTTCCTGCCTTATGGCCTTTGCACAAAAACTTCTTTCTCCACAAGTGGTTCTCTCAGCTCCTTTAAGCTCAAGATGTCATCTTCTCTTCCCACTGAGGTGCACACTGAACACCTCATTTAATACTGTCAACTGCCTGCCCATAGACACACTCAATCCTCCATACCTGCTCTGTATTTCCCATAGCACTAAACACCTTCTAACACATAACATAATTTACTTATTACATTTGTCTGACTCTTGCCCCACTGGAACGAAAGCTCCACGGGAGAGGGATTTTTACTTCTGTGTTTTGTTTGCTAACCTATCTCAATCTCCCTAGAAGGGTGCATAAACTAAAATGTTTGTTTGAGGAAAGACTAACAAGTTAATATATTTTACAAATTGGAATCCACTAATCTATGGCATATCTAGCAAATAAAGGTTAACATAATGAGGCCAAGACAATTTTCTCTGACAAAATATCTAAGGCCTGAATCTCACATCACAGAAACTTTAAGTTTAGAAAAACCAGTCTGTAATCTGCAACAAAATGTACCCGATTTTGGCTGGCATGTAGAGCATCAAAGGCACCACTGGAGAATCTTCATTTCCATAGATGATGAAGCCCATCTCTTTCAGACGTCTCCTGAAATACCTGGTATTTTCAGCTAACTGTTGTATACACTCTTTGCCTGAAAAACCATGGGAAGAGGAACAAAATAATATAAGGAAAAAAAGAACTGAAAAAAAGATGGCCATTGCCTCTACCTCCATTCTATCAATCAGTCCTACTGATAGGGTGGAAGGGCACATAATAAGAATAGAACCACTGTTGTTTTAATGATTATTCACCTTACTAGCTTCCTTTCCAACATCAAATATTTTTGCACAGCAAACTGTATAAAATATAAATATATCTTGCTTTGTGTTCTGTCATATTAGATGTTGGCAGCAGATTTGATGATAATGCACAAAATAAGTTCAACCACTCCTATTTCCACTGCACAATGGTACCCTCAAACATGTTAATCAATACCATCTCATTAGCCTCTACCATCCCTCTGCAGTAGGTAGGATATTTATTTGCATTTGCATTTCATAGATCAGGAGACTCACAAAGGTGGTGATTGGCTTATAGTCACAGGGTAATAAGTGGCGCAGCTGAGACTAGAATCTAGGTGTCTCAACTTCAATATTCACTCCAACTAACCATGCTGTGAATAATTTTACACATAAGACCAGAGACAGAACCATTTAGAACCCCAAAATTTCCTCTCAAGTTTGATTTTGTGTTACCTTTTCCCTAAAACTCCTATAGAAAGTAATAGCCTATCCATAATAATGTAAAATCATACTTTTAATCCCACTTTGTTCATCTTCCCTGTAAAACAATTGATTAAAACATACATTTCTCACCCAGCCAGTATGGCTCAGTGGTTGAGTGTCAACCCATACACCAAGAGGTTGCCAGTTCGATTCCCGGTCAGGGCACATGCTCAGGTTGTGGGCTAAATCCCCAGTGGGGGGCGTGCAGGAGGCAGCCAATTGATGTTCTCTCTCATCAATGTTTCTCTCTCTCTCTCTCTCCGTCTCCTTTGCTCTCTCTAAAATCAATAAAGATTTTTTAAAAATAATAAACAAAAACAAAAACTAAAAACACATTTCTCCAAAAGCTAACTAAATGTTTGGCCTGTTTTTGACATTATGGTAAGTCAATCTATGAATAGATGTCCAAACAATTTTTCTGTAATAAAGAACAAGCGATAAATTCAAAAGATCAGCTCACAAAGGAACTGTTTTATGGTCTTTTTTTTTTTTTTATCCTCACCCGAGGACATTTTTCCATTCTTTGTTCAGGTAGAGTGGGAGGGAGAGAGAGGAACAGAGAGAGAGACAGAGAGAAACATCGATGTGAAAGGAACACATCGAGTGACTGCCACCCACACAACCGACCAGGGCCGGGGACAAACCGCAACCAAGGTACGTGCCCTTAGCGGGAACCGAACCCAGGTCTCTCAGGACCGCAGGCCGACGCTCCAACCGCTGAACCAAACCGGCCAGGGCTGTTTTATGGTCTTAAACATGAATACTCACAAGTAAGAAAAGGTGTGCAGAGGAGGGTGGAGGGAGTAGAAGAGGGTAGAGGGGAAATAAAAGGTGAAGGAAGGAGACTTGACTTGGGGTAGTAAACACACAACGTAATATGCAGGACATATTATAGAACTGTACACCTGAAACCTATATAATTGTATTAACCAATGTCACTCCAATAAATCCAATAAAAAAGAGAAAAAGGTTTGTAATCATTTCTCATATATCTTAGAAAGCCAGAAAATTAATATTTAAAAAAGTACAAACACCCGGCCGGTATGGCTCAGTGGATTGAGCACTGGCCCATGAACTGAGAGGTCCTAGTTCAATTCTTGATCAGGGCATATGCCTGGGTTGCGGGCTTGATTCCTAAATAGGAGGTGTGCAGGAGACAGCTGATCGATATTTCTCTCTCTCTCTAAAAAATAATCAATAAAAACATAATAAAAAAAAAAAGGCACAAACATCATACATTTAAAAAAAAAAAATAAACCAATCAACCAGAAATACAAATGGTTAATAGTTAATATACTTCCTTAGAATTAGAATACAGACATATCCACCACTGATGGGAAGCTACTCTAGGTAATTTTGTTACAAATAACCCCAAATTAATACTTTTTATGTAAATAACTTAAAATTGACCAAAGAATAACTCAAGCCTAGATTAGCTTAAGTGTGAACTCTAATGAACATCACTAAAATCACGACATATGTCTTACAAATAATAAAGCAGACATTAAAGTGTGTTATATATAATTATGTTAAGAAATGATGAGCCATGTGCCCTAATTTCCCACCAGAAATAGCAATATATGCTGACTCTACATTTAAGCCTTGGCTGGTTTGGCTCAGCGGTTAACACATCAGCCCTTGGACCAAAAGGTCACGGGTTCTATTCTGGTCAAGGGCACATGCCTGGGTTGCAGGTTTCTCCGATCATGACCAGGGCTGTTCGCGAGGCAACCAGCTGATGTGTCTCTCTCAATCGATGTTTTTCTCTACATCCCCCCTTTCCACTCTCTCTAAAAAATAAAATAAAAAAATAAATGGAAAAAAATTTTTTCCCTTTATTAATTTTAGAAAGAGAGAGGGAGTGAGAGGGAGAGAGAGATAGAAACATCGATGAGAGAGACTATCGACCGGCTGCCTCTTGCATGCCCCACACTGGGGATCAGGCCCACAATCTGGGCATGTGTCCTGACCGTGAATCAAACCGGGGACATCTTGGTGCATGAGTCAACACTCAACCACTAAGCACACCGGCTGGACGGGGGGAAAAATTTTAAAGAAGAGAATTTTGCTTCTGGCAATGATAGCATACCAGTGACCAGATTATCTTCCTGTGATATAAACAACAGAAAATTGGAACAATGGTTTTCAGACACAGGGCCATAGGCAGTGATGGACTAAAAACATTAAGAAGTGAGCCTTTGGATTGTCCCGGTACTGCCTAGAGCAGGTTCCAGGCTGATGGGGGAAGGGGGCGCACCTAGTCTTGTCAGTTGAGGACACCAGAGATGGGAGTTGGAGAGGCTAAGGTGGCTAGAATTTGTTGGGCAGTGTACAGGAGAGGACAGAGAAGATATGAAGAAGGTCCTCTTGAGCCTTTGGCGGAGTGCTGATCTGCAGAAGTATGAGAAGAAACCATCAGAGGCTGGGAAAGATCCACAAGGCAGTAGACTGAATAATCCCTGGAGCTCATACAGAGTTGGCAATAGTTTTATTTTCACCCATCAAGATGGAAAGATCTCAGAAGGGTATTATACTAGTAATAGGGCTCAATTAGCCTAGACTAAAAGTCGTGCTGGATTCACACTAACAAACATTAAAAGCAAGTCTCAAAAAGATCCAATTGATTCCAAGAACAAAGTCCAAAATCACCAAAGGAATATAACAGAATGTAGCACCCAATAATGTAAAAATTCATGTCTGACATATAATAAAAACATTCCACATATTCATAGAAACAAGAAAATACGACCCACCACTAGCAGAAAAGTCAATCAACAGAAAAAGACCAAAAATAACAGAGTATTTGCCGACAAGAATGTGAAAATACTATTAAAAATATGCTCCTACATTCAGAAAGGAAAAGAAAACATGATGGAGAGAGATAATATATAAAAAGAAACAACTGATACAACAATGCTGATGAATTTCAAAAAAGCATTATGTTAAATAAGCCAGACACAAAAGACTGTACACTGTGTGAATTATTTATAGAAGATTTTAAAAAGACATAGTTGCAGTAACAGAAAACAGATTCATGGTTGCCAAGGAATACAGGAAGGACCGACAGCAAAGGGGTATGAGGAAACTTTTGGGGGTAACAAAAATACTCTAGACCTCCACTGTAGTATGGTTACATGATAATATATCTGTGAACATTCATGAAATTATACACTTAAAATTGGCGAATTTTATTGTATGCAAATGATACCTCATTAAAGATGGTTTCTAAAAAACCAAGTGAACATTTGCATAATAGTGTACGTGTAATTTTTCCCACGCTCACTTTATCACTTTGCAACTTGCTATTTTCTTTTCACAAACCAAATACCTTCTATTTAAAAATTCCAAAAAAAAAAGAAAAAAGAAAAATTCCAAGATATTATTCCAAGAATAACAAGAAAAATGATCAATAAAGAAGAAACGTTAAGAGATTTAGACCTTAACTTTTCCACTAATTGCTATATCATTTTAAACATGTCTTTTTAACAAAAGAAAATGGGAATCTCACTCTCTCCATTCATCATCATCTGTTCCCTGATAAGAAGAGTCCCAAAAGAAAATACATCTAAATTAACACACATATATATAACCTGAAGATACTGTGAGTAGGCATTTAAAATCCCCAACATATCCTTATTATTGCTGAATAGTATTCCTTTGCAAAGATATACCACAATTTGTTTATCATTTATATGTTAAAGAACATCAGCGTTGAAATTTTCAACCTTTATTTTGGCAGCTATAAATTCAGATTAAGAACAGTTCTCGTCTGGCCGGTGTGGCTCAGTGGTTGAGTGTTGACCCATGCATCAAGAGGTTGCTGGTTTAATTCCTAGTCAGGGAACATGCCCAGGTTGTGGGCCAAATCCCCAGTGGGGGCATGCAGGAGGCGGCGGCAAATCAATGTTCTTTCTCATTGATGATTCTCTCGCTCCCTCTCCCTTCCTCTTTAAAAATCAATAAAGAAAAAATTACAAAAAAACAACAATTCTTTGCTTATGAAAATACTAATTCAAAAAGATATATGTACCCCTATGCTCACTGCAGCACTATTTACAATAACCAAGATATAGAAACAACCTAAGTGTCCATCAATGAATGAATAAAGATATAGCATGTGCGCACATGTATACTACTAAGTCATAAAAAAGATGAAAAATTACCATTTGTGACAACATGGATGAATCTCAGATGGAAAAGGACCTGTACAATTTCACTTATGTGGAATATAAAACAAAAAGGTAACAAATGAATAAATACAACAAAACAAAAACAAACTCATAGATACAGACAACAGAAAGGGTGGTTATCAGAGGAGAAGGGGGTGGAAGATGAAGTAAAGGAGGAAAAATATATTATGGTAATG